TCTCTCTCTCTCTCTCTCTCTCTTGGGCAAACAGGGTAAACAAAACACAGCCATCAGAAAAGGCCCAATTAAGTGCATTATACTTTATGCACTCAATCCCTTTTTTTTTTCTCCTCCAGCACCATCACGTGTAGTGTTACCGTCGAAGTACGTGAATACCAACCGCCGCCTCTGAGCTTAGATAGAATGGCCCCAACCAGCCATTCCAACATCCATTATTACCCTCGCCATTATCTTTACGCGTATTTATACGATTATTATTATTATTATTATTATTGTCGGGGTTCTGCTCCTGATCAACCTCAATAGTGATGAGGTTTCCCTCTGCATCTAAGGTGGCTGGTTGAAGAGTCAGTCCTCCTCCTTCTCTTCTTTCATTCTTTTCATCCAATGCATTAGACAAGAGACGGAAAGACTTCATTTGTAGGGAAGCATCCTTCACAGCATCGAAGAAACGCCGCATGGTGGTATTTTGTCTGTGTGTTTGTACAACAATGGCCACTGCGTCCTCAGCGGAGTGGAGTGCATTGCGTAGTGTAGTGACGAGAGGAGTGATGAGTTCCACTTCGTAAATACAATCAGCAGCCAAAATGAGATTACAATCCCATTCTTGTAGTTTATGTTGATTCTCTTCCGTCTCTGTCCAGTCAAGAATGTCTGTGATGTATACAAGATCCTTACCTTTATGATCACTAGAGAGATCTGATACGATACCGTTAGAATTAAGATTAAAGAGAATGTTTTCAATTAATTCGGGTTGGTAATCCGTGAGAATACAACGCTGCAATCGTTCTCTACAGGGAGAATATCGATGTAGTACTAATGGTGTTAAACCAACACCAGCCCCTAATTCCAATACTCGTATCTTTCCTGTAGGTGATAGTATCATGGGTTGCGAAGATGTGAACTCGTCTAGTAATAATTGTGTTAATACAAATGCTGCTGGCCAAAGGGCGAGACCCACATTTGTGAATTGACCGGAAGCCAAACGAACAGGAAGATATGGTTTACACGCAAATGGACAATAAAATGTTTTATAACACTTAGTGGCTTGTATATCATTACTATCCGAGTTTATGGAATATTCAATATACGCTTCCATAAGGCGAGAATCAATAGTATCCTCTTCTTCTTCATCATCATGATTTAATGTATTTATCATGAGGGTCATCGTCTCTGGTGATTGTAAATCATTAAGATATAATTTTAAGAAGGCACGAATATTCGTTTTACGCGGTGGATACTTTAGCAAGATTGGATTTCGTATGAACAGAGATACACACAACTGCTGTGCGGTGCTTGAGTACCACGGCATACCCAACACTTCACAGTCATCTTTAAAGGCTTTGAAGGTTTCCTGCGGAGGAGCAGACTGTAGAAGAAGTAATAGTGATAACGGTGGGTGAGTTTTAATAGTTTCCATTCTTTTTCTATTCAATCTCGTCTTGTCTCTGTGAAGTATGAATGGTGTACACTCCCCTCTCACCTTCCTTCTCAGCAAACAGTTAATATATATATATATATATATATATATATAACAAAAAGAAAAAGAAAACAATTGAAAATAAAGAAATTCGTTTAATAACACATCCTCTCAATAACAATAGAGAGAGAAAGAGAGAGTATTTGTAAGGAAAAAGGCATAGAAGCAAAAACAACATGTCATTAAAGAAAGAATAAAATATTTAAAAAGAGGAAAAAAAAATGGATGTACCATACAAAAGTAATAAGCAGTAAATAATAATAATAATAATAATAATAATAATAATAATAAATAATAATAATAAAGAATTTATTCGACAGATCACTACACTACAACAGACTATTCTTCCCCAACCTCCTCCAGTTCACGCTCAGTCAAATGCCGAATGGGCATCTCTACATGCACATACGCCGTTTCCAGACCCAAACTCAATGCGAGTGCCCCTTCCATCACTTCTAATGATGAACTTACGTATGGACTGCTGCCTGTGCTGCTCATACTCTTCTTAAGATCCACTGTTGAGAAGCCTGCATTGGCGGATGTACTTCTGCGGCTTTCACGATTAGACACCAATTGTGTGGCCACACTCTCTAAGAAGGGAGCAATGCGATGAAATACAGAAGAGGGTATAATAAATGCCCCTGTCGCACTTACAGGTGGAAGATCTCGTAGAGAAAAGGATTTGTGAAAAAAATGATTGTATTCTTCTAACAGTCGATGACCGAGAGAATTATTAAGTAAGAAAAGAGTATTATATGAAGAACCGTAAAAAATACAACAATGAGAGGATCTTGAATGATGTTCTTGTTGTTGTTGTTGTTGTTGTTGTATTCGATGTCGAATACGACGTAAAAGCTGTTGATCAATACGCATATCGTATTCAAGAAAAGCAATCCATTCTTCATCTGATTTTGTGTCACTTCCTCCTCTTCTTATTACGGCTGATTCTTCCGTTCTTGTTGTTGTTGTATCTTTACTCGGACTATTACTAAGAGAAGAAGATGGTTTTCCAATCATTCCACTTCTGTAAACTGAAAGAATCGCACTATATATTTGCAGAAAACTTTCATTGGCAACAAATCCTGGCATTTCCCACTCTCGCAATAAACGTCCCTCCATCATCTTTGATGAATACTGTATATCCAGTGGTTCCTTTGTAGCTAGAAAAAAAATACGATTTCCATTTTGTCTACCTTCATTTTCACGGTATATCTTTAGACTATTCACAATCTCTCTTGTGGTTATCTCTGGAGATTGTATATTATTCCCATTCATATTCTCCTCATCCCCACGTCCCTGCGTATGGCTATTACTGGGTGGTAAAGGTAAAAGTAAAGACCATGAAAGTCCTTCATACAACTTCTCATATAAACGACGATGAAAAACAATAAACATCATTACTTCCACTGTCTTTTCTCTGTTCACCTCATCAGAGACCTCACAAAAACCATTATCATCATCACACGGTGGGGTTCCAACATCAGGGGAAAGTACTTCCGGTAGAAGCGTCTCCTCCCGTTGTCGAAACTCTTCACGCCGGTAGTGTTGGACCCGACCCCGCACGGCATTTCCCGATGGAGGAAGAAGAATAATAATCGCCAGCACAAGAAGAGCGAGAAGAAGACAAAACAGTTGACGGATCAAAAAGGCACTGCTGGAAATAAACCGCTTCGCATATCGTGGACCACGCGACATTTGGAATCTACAAACACACACACAGACAGACAGACAGAGAGACAAAAAAAAAAAAAAAGAAAACAATAGCAGACCTAAAGCCTACACGCTTTATTTTTATTGTTTTCCTTTTTCCTTTTTTTTTCCTACTATTATTGTTCCCTTTGTGTTCCTCTTCCTAAGACAGAGTACAAAACATTCACGTTCAGTAATATAAAGAAAAAGAAGAAAAAAAAAAACAGAGAGAATAAAGATAATAGTAACAATAATAAAACTCTTTTTTTTTATCTCCTAATCTTTACAATCATAATGAGAGCTACAATCCCATATAATTATGGCTACTACTACTAGTAAATATTCTTGCTAAATCAGCAATAACACCTGCGAAGCTAGCAGAAGAAAAAAAAAATTTAATTAGTTTTTGTTTCTTTTTTTTAAATTTAAACGGTTCAATACAAAGTGAACTAAATAACAGAAACAAAAAAGAGTTCCGTACCTCACTTGTTTTTTCGTTTTCCCCATCTTCTTTACTTGTTTGGTCCTTTATATCCACAGACGTCACTCTTTTTTATTTCTTTTTATCTCTTTTCTTTTTTTGTTGTTTCTTCTTATCTTTCTTTTTTTTTCTTTTCTTTTTTTTATTCTGCACACTACACTTCTTCTCCTCTTCACTTGCGTGTCTTGTGCTGTGAGCGGAATTCCCGCAGACGTGCGGTCTCCTTCTTTGCCTTCTTCAGTTGCCGTTCGTACTCCTTCTCCTCTGCGGCGGAGACCCGCTGGTGCTGCTGCCGGGCCCGTTTCTTCGCCTCCGCCTTCTTCTTCAGCATCGACTCGGCCTTGTCGCTGAAGGCATTCAAGAGCGCCGTGCGCCGCATGTCCCGCGGCTCCGGGGCGATCGTCGTGGCGCCCGCCACCCGCTGCTGGAGGGCCGTCGACTTCTCCAGCGGGATGAACTCCTCCTTCATGTTGAACGGCAGCTGCATCTTTTGATTGCGGGAGAGAAGCACCTTCACAGACCGGTCCGCGGTATTATTAGGATGGGCACCACCGGGTTGTTTAGTATCATGATTGTAAATATCATCCTCCATCTCATCCCCACGTTGACGGCGTTTAATCTCATGGTACTCGGAATCACTCTTAGTGACAAGTGGAACGTTATGTTCCCACCGCAACTCTCGCATACTTCGCATTCCAACCCATTCAGGATCTACAAGATTACGTTGAATCGAACAGTACTTTGGTGGATGTACAGTTGTCCATGCCCGGCAAAAGACAATATCAGAGGGAAATATCTTATCTTCAAATGTAGCACGAATTAATCCATCTTTACCCTTCAATACAGCCTTAACAATACCACGAATGCCTGAAACAGATTTAAGTTTCGCTCCCACATACTTTGTCGCCTCAAGATCTGTATTAAACATTCCTTTAATAAAGGCAGTTGTTTTAACAATCTTCTGTGGTGTTCCAGTGAGTTTCAGTTTCTTAACAATATTTGTAACATTATCATTACCTACAGTATATCCAGTACAAGGAATACGAAAGTTTGCCGATCGAAGATCTCGAACAGGAATAGCAACAAATCCAGTATTTGTAGGAGTTACTGGTGCGTAAAAGGATGCCACACAATGCATATGCATAGGGGTATACTTTAGATAACGTACCCGTCCATTAGGATCCTCTGTAGCGAATATTGGTTGTGTTTGAAAGCGTCGCCATCCCATAGATAATAATAATGGATCTTGCGCTTTAAGAATCTTTGGATACCAACGATGACGCTTAAGTTTGGCATGTACTACACGGAATTGATCCTCACCAGCATTTACACCTCCAGCAATAAGTGGAACCAATGGGTTAAAGTGACGTACAAACTCCACAGGAACATTTTCAAGAACGAAACGAACATATAAACCACTGAAATAACCGACCAATTTAATCTTTTTCTCCACATCATCACCCATATCATTTAAAGCGGCATCTAATCGTTCCTGTTTCTCTTCAACAGCTCGTGTAAGTTGATGATAGTGTGTAAATGTATTATTTTTACCTCCCATATCATATGATTCATCAAAAGCCTTTTTCTTTGCCATTCTTTTTTGCATAAGTCGTTCCTGTTCTTCTGTGAGTTGTTTCCCTTCAATAATATCCGCTGTTTCATCAGCCTCTCCTCCTCTTTTATCCTCATCCTCATCCTCATCATTATGACCACCCCGTTGTTGTTTGGGGTCATAGAACTGTATGGCCCCATCATCATCATCCTGCAAAGAAGAAGAGGAAGGACCTCCTCTTTCTCTTATCGTTGTAGTAGTTGCAGCTGCCCGACGTTGAGGTGCCAAGAAACTCGAGACGAGACCATCCAACTCTTGATCAGATAATGCCGCATCCTCACGAGCATTTTCATCCTCAGCGAGAATATCATAATCATCATCATCATCCTCCCCGTTTCCTCCTTCATGACTACGTTTACCATTCTTAGAATGAATATGATGATGATGATGTTGTTCACTATCATCTGGTCGGAATGCACCCCAACCTGATGGAGAAGAGGAATTATACTTGTGATTCAATCCTGCTAATGCATTAGTCACTTGTCTTCCATTCTGTTTATTCCTTTCGTGATCATAGTTATTACTTTCATCATTCTCATCATCGTCGTCTTCTTCTTCTTCACTCTCATTATCATCCTGATCTTGTAGCATGGAAGATGATGTAAGTGGTTTTGTACCTCGTGCTATTTCTTCAAATTCCTCATCTTCACTCTCATACCCCTTATCCACTTCTTCTTCATCATCATCATCATTACTGTCCTTATCATCATCTGATCCTGTTGTTTTTGATCCTGCATTCCAGTCTCCAGTAACGAATAAATTTTTCAAACGGCGAATCAAATCACTATCCGACCAATCATAACGTACAGTATTCTCACGAATAGCATCTGGTGCATTACGACCACGTGGTACAAGAGCTCCACCTGTAACAACTCCATCTACATCTACTTCTTCTTCATCATCATCATTATCATTATTGTTGTCCTTGTTATCATTGAGTCCGTATAGTGACAAATCATTTCGTGAATGGTTGTTATTCATCTGGAGACGTCTCTCATTTCTGTTATTTTTATTGTTATCATTTTCATCATCATCATCATCGGAAAATTCTGAATCTGAAGAAGGTGGGGCTTCCACTTCACCCATCTCTAATTCCATCGCATCATCATCTCGGAAAACAACTGGACGGCGTACAACATCAAGAGCGGCTGTACCAGCATCCATAGGTTTAGCACGTTGTAATTCTCGCAGAAGTTGAAGACCCTCACCAGAGCGTTCAATCATCTCCTTTTCAGCATCTTCCTGAATATAAATAGCATCATCATCATACATGACACCACTCACATCACAGTATGGGGCGTAAATACGTTTTTGTTTCATACTAAGATGTCGCATCTTATGTCCTTGGGATTTTCCACCAGGGCCATCAAAGGCACATGGATCTTCTTGTTTAGAGATGTGAGCAACAGGGAAATCACCCAATCCTGGAATATGTACCAATTGTTGCGGTTTTAATGGTTTTCCTCGTGTATATCCATAGAAGGCAATAGTACGATTACACTTTTCATCCTCTGCAACCAACTGTGGTGCTGTAATATCTTCATGTCGATCAATCAAAACACAACTGTGAGTGTTTCTCCAGTTTTGTATTTTTGGTTCTACACAAATAAGAAGACGATGTAGTTTCAGCACATCTGTTGCCCGATACATTCCACGTACCATTGGGGCTAAACATAATAACTTCGCACCGGCTGCCACTTCATGCCAAAAGCGATGACGAAGAAACTTCTTACGTTTCTTTAATGCTTTCCCTGTACTTAATTGATCAAGGTGTGAAATGACACCAAACATACGTGGGAAACCGTGAACCTGGGCAATGTTAAGGAACTCAAACGTCTCCATCTCAAACCCAAAACCACCATCAACCATAAGCAGCACAAGATCTGCTACCTTGGCAATATCACACATAGCCGTTAATGTGTTTGGACACTCCACAAACGTCACGCGGCGACTGCGGCCTGCGACTACAGTGATGGGTCCCCGCACCGCCCGCACATTACGGCCACTATAGAATTTCACCATTGTGCGAATAAGTGTAGACTTCCCAACACCCGGCGGTCCAACAACGGCAACCAGCAGCGGCGGCTCCGATACAATATGCCGCAGGGTTTTATCCATTGTGGGCATGTGCAGTGCAGTCTCCCGCTTTTCAAGACTTCGAAGCATTTTTTGTCCCTTTCGGCTGCTGGCGGTTGGGCCGCCAAAGGCCTTTCGGTTATTTCCCCTGTTTGGTTCGAGTTCAATGCCGGCCTTCTTCTTGCGGTACTCATCCTTCTTGACCGCCTTGCTACCCACAATGCGGGCCTTGTGGCTCTTGTTCTTTTGCTCATTATCCCCCTCCATTGTCTTTTACCACTTTTCTTTTTCTTCTTTTACCTCTTCAGACTACCACTATTATTAGTGGATTTCCTTTTTTTCTTTTTTTAAAGGTTCTCGCCCTTTCTTTGTTTTGCCGTGTTAAATAAAGCTCTAGTAGCCTCAATATTTAAACACGCCTATATCACGTATCATACGAAATAATAATAATAATAAAGGAGAAGAAGAGGTGAAAAGAATAGGAGATATTTATTGATTATGATGTGTGTGTTTTGAGTATATGTATAAATGTCTTTGATTTGTCAGAAGTAAATAAAGAATTCAAGAAAAGGTTTAACTAAAAAAAAAAAACAAAGACAATAGAAAAAAAAAAACAATAAAAAAAGAAAAAAAAAACGATGAAAAAAAAATATATGATCACTCAAAATAGCACGCTCACAGGAGCAATATGTTCTTTATTTCCTTCTCTTGACATCACCAGTTACAAAGAAAAAAAAAAAAAACACCCTACTTCTATTTGCCAATATCAACAAACACAGAACAAGTTTAAAAAAAAAAAAGCAAAAAAGTAATAAAGCGGGACATGGAGAAAAGATGTATTAGAAATAATAAAAAGAAATCGGTAATAATTGCGTACATTCGCTCATTCGCCACCTTTTCCTTTTTTTTTTTTTTCTCTTTCATCCCTTTTATTTTTTTTATCTTTTTTTATTTTTTTTTTTCTTTTCCTTTACTACACAAATGTATATGAGAGATTCTTTCCACCATTTGTTTTTTTGTTTTTGCTGCCATCCCCAACCCTTTCTTCCATATGTTCCTCTCTTATCAGACGCACGTCACTGTATCCTCACTCTTTGGATGTGGGCCTTTATTTTTCAAATCGTGTAAATCTTTCTTATCAACCTCCACTGCACAGAGACGCACAAAGTCATCATCAAACAAGGTAGGATTATTTCGCCGTAGTAACATTTCAAATAAATTGCGGCATAATCCATAATCATAAGGATTACGTCTGTTATCATAAACGCCTTGAAGTCGTTCTCGTGTGGTGGCACCGCCCATAATGCCTGTTATCAGCGATAGACAGAGAAAGAATGTGGAACATGATATCGCAAACATCACAATAACGAGAATCATAGAAAAAACATATTGTTTCGTACTGAATATCTCACTGTTACTATACATGGCTGTAGAGAGAACCACCGCGGGAAAAAAGGGCAGTGCAACAGTGGAAAGGACAAACAACATAAACTTTCGTAAATTACGCATGCCTACACATACACCAATAACAGAACAATGATGATCATGCTCACTTACACACAAACCACAGAGATAACAGTGAGCTGCCCGTGGAGGACGATACAACTCACACGTTGAACACCACTTACGTTCTACCTGTTCTCCATTTACAGTTTCCCACTTACTCTCACGCTGTCTTAACTCAATATCTTTTAATGTGAGTTGTTTTCCAGCATTTCGGTGGTAATCGTTCTTATTATTACCTATATGATAATCATTTTGATCATCTAGGTAAGCAGGACGAATAAAACCGGGATCTGTGTATACGGTATTTACCATAACGACCACAAAGAAAATAAGTAAAAGAGTAACATAAATATGCATATGCCATAACCATGCGTTATCGAGAGTGTACGTATCATATGTGAAGACCACATAGAGTACAAGAGCAGCAAAAAGTGGGAATGAATACGATACAGATGTTTTTGGTACAGGTATATTAACATTTCCCACACACGGTATATATTTACGAAATATTCGTACACAACCAATAGTTGCAGTAGGTTTAGTGCCAAACACAATGTACTCAATGACGTGAACAATTGGGTAGAGAAAAGACATTCGTTCCGAGAAGAGTTGCATTCGACGTGCTGAAAAGGCCTGAGTGGTTTCACCTGTCATCGTCGTTGGCATCTCCTTCTTCTGCTCTTCCACCGCACTCGCAATCACCGCCGAGAGTTGTGCCTTCGCGGAGCCCCCAACAGGAACAGCAACAGTGTTACTACTACCATTATAATTATTATTACTATTACTACTATGACCATTACTATTACTACCAACACCAGATTCCAATACTTCTGGGGAATAACATACAGTGTTTTCACCGTTTCTAGGATCTGTGAGTACACCGGGATCATTAGGCAACAGCGGTGCTGATGGATCTCGCAAATCAATAAGGGTTTGACAAACATGACATTGAATACCATACACCGCCGTGCTGCGACAATCAAAGAAGACCTCGTTACTGCATACAGGGCACAGCACCCTGTAGACGCGACCAATAACGGGAATTCGAACAGCAGACATGTGTAAATGTATATCTCTAGATACACCTGTATTACTTCTTACCCGCCCTTGGATTCTATATGAAATTGGAAAATTGAAACCAATATAGTAAAGCCAAGAAAGAAAGAAAAAAAAAGAATTATATATACATATATAATCGACTCTTGTTGTTTAAAAAAACAAACAAAAAACAAATTAAATATAGAAATAAATGCACAAGAAAAAGAAAATAATATATATACTGAAATTCCAAAAAATGGGTTATTGCTTTCGCCCCACACACAGATTCACTCTCCAAGAGAAGAATAAAAAGGTTTGTGCCCACAAGAAGAACAAAAGAAGAAAAAAAAAGACCTAACGTTGTTGTTGTTGTTGTGTAGACTGTGGTGAATCAGTCACATATAAAACACATTCCTTTTTTTGCCTTTCCACATGCACATTGTTCACTTTGCAAAGTTCCACCTTTATTTCGCCCATTTCCAGCATGACGCTCAGCAGCCATCATGCCTAAAGCCGTTGGTACAATCTGAGAATGACAAACAGGGCAAACCACAACTAATGTAGTATGAACAGAAAATCCACTTGTACCACAGAATGGACATGCCACCGTTTTGGATGATCCAGTAGTAGTAGTAGTAGTAGTAGTAGTAGTAGTAGTAGTAGTAGTAGTAGTAGTAGTTGAGGGTTTTTTCTTCTTTGATTGTTCTTGCTGTTTTTGCTGATTGGGAGAGGGATCTCGACGTTTCCCTTTCAAGATGTTTGTTGAACGGTGTATCGGTTTCAAATCTCCTTCATCATCTGAAATATCAAATTTTGCGAAGAGTTGCATCAAAGTTTGCCGACTCGCATCCTGTTTTTTTTCATCCTGTTGTATTTCTTCTGTTCTTCGTTCCACATCTAATTTCACAGTCTTCCCATATTCCGTTTTTGTACTGCGATTAAAATTCTTACGATGACCCTCACCATTCTTATCGTCATTATTATTACTATCTTTATTATTATCACTATCATCATCACTGCTAGAGAGGTTTAGTGTAGGAAGTGGTTTCGTTCCTTTTTGTGAGGGCTTCGGTACCCTATAATTATCATTTGCTGTTGGTACTTTCTTCTCACTTGATGACACCGGCTCATCCGGCATCGTGAAATCACCAAACACATCTGGAGGCAGTGGTATATCAAAGAGACCGATATCTTGCGATGGATTAGAGTATTGTTTCTCTTTCTGTCGCCTTTGTTCTTCTTCTTGATAATAATGGTAATAATGATGGTGTGTAGGAGGAGGTGGTGGTGGTGGTGGAGGAGGAGGAGGAGGAGGATGTGAAAAAGGCTGTGTTGTTTCTGTTCTTGTTCTTCTTACTAGTGATTGTGATTGTGATTGTGTGCGCAGGGCGGCGAGAGTGGACTCGAATGTCTGCTGCATCACTTGAAAGGCCTCGGCTGCGCGTGTGTGTGAGTTCTTGTCGGGGTGAATCCGCACGGCGAGGGATTTGTACGCCCGCTTGAGTGCCGCCTCTTCGCTGGTGTTGTGGGCGCCGAAGAGCCGCGCCGCATCCCCGCCGCTGTTCAGCACGAATAACACCAGCGACTCCCCAGCGGCCATTTGAGAGGAGACCCTTCCACCACGTCAATACAAAGTATACACCTCACACTCCTCTTTTTTTTTTTTTACTTTTTTTTTCTGATTTGGCAGAGAAGAACTAATAGAGAAAGTGTGAAGGAATATGTGTTGACTAGTCTTTGTTATTATTATTGTTATTCTTGTTGTTGTTGTTGTTGTTGGTGGTGGTGGTGGTGTTTTCTGCAGCAATTCTTCTTTTTTTTTTTTTTTTACCTTTTGTTTTCTGTTGGGGGGCTCCCCCAACCCACCACCACCCTACACACAGCAATCCTTCTTCTTGGAAGTTGTGAAAAAACAAAAACAACACAAGATGGGAAAGAGAAAAAATGATAAGATATTGAAGGTGAGAAAAAAAGATCTAATTTATCTCTTTTTTTTCTCTCTTTCTCTCTCTAAGAAGAGGAACACAGAAAAAAAAAAACAGTAAAACTAGAAATACACTAATCATAGCCCATTTCTCTATATGGAACTGATGATATTCTCGCATGTATGAATGTATATATGTATATATGAATGAATGAATTAGTTAATCTTTTTTTTTTCTTTGTTTTTGCGTTTCCGTAACTCTATGGGGAAAGGAAGAACAAAATGAGAATGAGAACAATGCATACAGTTACTTAAGCAACACTTTCCCAAACAATATTTTATTATTTATTATTATTATTATTATTATTATTATTATTATTATTATTATTATTATTATTATTATATTTGTGTTTTGGTATCCTTTCTTTGGTCCATCCTCTTTTTCCCCCCCCCCCTTTTCCTTTCTCACAAACGTATACACCTTACACAGAAGACTCCTGATTTCTGTACTCTTTTTTTTTTCTTTCTTTTAAAAGTATTACACATACATATGCACAGTCCCCATCTCATAAATACCATGTATAAGCCCATACACAGATACATAGATACACAAAGAAAGAGGAAAAATAGAAAATATATGTTTTTCACATCTTTCCCCATCGTTTCGCGTCAACAACAGGAACCTCTCTTTCTATCACTCCCCAAAGAAGAAGAAGAAGAAGAAGAACAACAACAACAATAACAAAAAAAAAAACGCCATCACTACCACTATCAGTAAATAACATCAGGTCTATTTTTTCATTTCTTCATTTTCACCCCACCTCCCCCTCACATATATCAGTAGTGCACAATACTTGTCTGTGTAGACTCACGCTTTCTGATCTCCGCTACAGCCTGTACCAATCCATTGTACGGCAGCACATACAGAAGAGAAATGGGAATATCATTCTCTGGTTGACAGTCATACTGTGGACGACAGCGATATGCCACGGTGGCAATGCGTTTGTCTCTGTATTCATAGAGAATAGAATCCTCCTCACGCCAGAAAATGTACCGAGTCAAATCAAACTCCTCCTGTTGAGTAACACTTTGTCGTCGTTTCTTCTTTTTATTATTATTATTATTATTATTATTATTATTATTATTATTTACTGCATCCTCACGGGTTGTGTTTGTTACTGGTGGATCCACCGCCCGCTGTATTTTGGAAAGTACCGCAAACATACAAGGGAATGTTGCCTTCACTTCGACTCTAGGGTTGTCTTGTTTTGTATCGTACATTTTCTGGAATCGCTCTAACAAATCATTTAAAATATGTGATGTTAACTCCAATGGAACATTACGAATATACTCACCAACGAGAAGCACACATTTAGCCTTTCCTGTTCCTTCCTCACATGACACCAACATATCTGTTGGGAGAATGCCAGGTGTGATAGTGCGCCACATACTGTTTTTAAGGTGCGCCAAGAGAGTACTCAGACGGGGGTTGTGGACCAAATCAAGAATACTCGCCATTCCATATATCTCTTCTTCCTCTTCATCCTTATTATTATTATTATTATTATTATTATTATTATTATCGCTATCGTTTGTACCAGCATCATTCCTGCGGTTACCGTTCTCAATATCCTCATCCTCATCCTCATCATTATCATCCTCATCCTCATCATCATCGTCTGTGGCGATCTTCACAAGAGACGTAAAGGGGCTCCCGTGAAGTGCCGCGCCCAATTCATCACGATCCACTTCATTCATTTTATCTGGACAGAGTTGATCCATGAGATGCATCACCGCATCCACATCACGTGGCTTCATATCAAACACTCCAAAGTCCACATTAATAAGACTGGCGTTATCATCCTCATCCTCATCCTCCTCTCCTTCCTCATACTCTCCGATATTATCATTCTCGCTGCCGCTGGTGCTGCTATTGGCGCTACCAGCTCTCATCATGAGGGAACTGTCCGTGTCTTCACGCGGTGTATCGGCGGAGGAGGAGACATTACCATCATTGCCCATATCACTCCCGTTAAACTCATCGCTGTTACAACTCTCTTCTTCTGATCCAACTGGTGGACGGTCACCGTAGTCTTCAATATTCTCCTGTGGGCTGAGGAAAGTGAGGTGTGAGATATCGGGCTGGCGGTGTCGTTTCGGCATTTACCTTTAATTATCTTCCTTTTAGTGTTGACTTTTATTTCTTATGTGTGTCGTTGAGTTTCCTCGCCTCTCTTCCTTTGATATACGTACTCTAATGTTTTATGCAATGTAGTGTGTTGACGGGCGTGCTTTATGATACCGCACGTACAGCTCCCCAGAGGAGAGTAATGAAAACCAAAACTAAAATAAATTTAAAAAAAAACCACAGGAAGAGAAAAGACATATTGTCGTCAAGAGAAAATTTGACAGGAGAGGTGGTAATAGGAGAATCACTATAGTGAAAAGAACATCAAAAGAGGGTCAAAATCACAATAAATAAATAAATAAATAAATAATAAAGGATTTTTTCTTTTTTTTCGCTTGTTCCAATACCTCTTTTTCCCATCTAAACATCATAAAGCTCGAACATGAAAACAAGGAGTACAATAACGCACACTACATATGGAAAAAAAAAAACAGCAGAGTATTGAATAATTGTGGTACTAGTGACGCAATGTTTACCTAACTATCCCAGAAACCCGTCACATTAACGCACCTTTTCCTCACACATACTCTCACCCTCTAACGAAGAGGGAGAGGGAGAATGAGTACAAAAGAACGAGAGAAAGGAAACGAAACAATTAATAATAACATTAATAATAATAATAATAATAATAATAATAATAATAATAATAATAATAATAATAAAATCTCTGATCCTATCACCGTCTCCACATTCAATATTCCCCTACTCCTCATCCATTTTCCTTCTCTTACAATAAATTTTCTCATTTTCACCCACTTAGCACAGACATACACAAAGATTAAATAAATAAATAAATAAATAAATAAATAATACGTAGATAAATATGTATATACACACAATTCCTGTTTCCTCTACCAATCATCATCCATGCGCTTACGTGCGAATGTGATGCTGCTGCTCTTCGCCTCTGCGCCCTGGGAACCCAGCCGCTCGAGAATGTCCCGCACGGCGTCGTCGCCCACCGGCGGCTGCAGACGCCCGGCTCGCACGGCCTGCAACAACTGCACCTCCGCCGCGCGGGCCCGATCGGGGCGGACTTGCGCCAACCGCTCCAACCGCTCGCGGCCCTCCGCCGACACGCACGCGCGGAGAAGTCCGTCCCGCTGCTCACGCGCCGCGTCCGCCCGCTCCTCGCGCGCCTGCTGCTCGAGCATCATCTGCTGCGCCTGCTCCTCGCTGATCGGCACGCGCGACATTCGCCAGAGGGGAAGAGATGGTCTACGGTGTAATGCTAGAAAACATGAAGGAAAAAGAAAAAGAGAAAGAGAGGGAGAATTATGAAGGGAGTCGTCCGTCCAGTAAGGGATAAACACAGAACAAAAAAAAAAAAATATATATATATATATCATAACTTTGACTAACTCCGACAATCACATACCACCAATATCACCGTTCAAATGAATCCCACGTTTTTCCGGCACTTTACATTCCCACCCATTCAATGATATTTGTCATAACAAACACACAAACACAAAGAGATTTCCAGAAGAAGAAAAAAGAGTCTGTTCACCAAGTGAAACACAACTGCAAAGATCATCCCATGTTTTTCTTGTATTTTACTTGCTCCCTCTCACTCACAAAAGCATTTACCGTTTCACACACAAATGAGATTCATTACAAAAAAACGAAGCAAAAATAAGATGCACAGAAGCTGAGCGTAACACTTCTCCACAACAACGACAAACGCACTCAGTCATGCATCATCAGCAAAAAAAAAATCATGTCTTTTCCCAATAGAATTCAAAAAAAAAAAAAAAACGAAGAGAAATGATTGCACTCTGGAGGAGGCGCAGGTGGTGCCATTCATTTTACCAAAGAGAGAGAATGGATCCACACGTGTTATCGTATCAGTATGCTTCCTGGTGCAGATATATATAGCAATATAGGTTAAAGTATGTGGTTTATTTGTTCTTTAAACGTATCCTGTGCACACACAGATACATACAGGCAAAAGAAAAAAAAAACAGACAATAAACAAATTATATGCAGGGTTGGTTGTCACCTGTACAGAAGGATACGGAAAACCAAAATACAAACATATGCATATATACATGTACTGTATAAGTAAATACAGGTTCACCATCACTTGGATACATTTGGTGCTGAGCACATGACATCACTGTGTCACTATCCAATGGCGTGAAGTGGGACCATTGATACCGTTTACGGTAATAGCATTAGCGTGATAACCATGAGGGCAATAGCTGACAGAGCGATGGGGGCAGCAGTGGCACACCCATCACCATGACCACCACCACCACCAGCATTACCGGTACCACCACCACCACCACCACCATCAGGAGAGGGTGTCGGATCATCCGGTGGATCGATCAGTGCAAGACGACTGCCACCGTTGGGGGCAATGGTGCACACCTCATCGTACTTGGGACACTTGATATTGCCGCTTTTGAACGTAGGTGACTTTGCTTCGATGGACTTACCTTCGGGGCAGTCGTGCCATTCGTCGCTACCGTTGTACTGCACCTTCACTGTACGACTACTCTCATCACACGACACCAGCGCACACACTCCGGCCACGTTTTCCTTCACGGTGTCATCGTCAAAATTCACATGGAGTGACTCACCATCTAGGCACCACGAGTCATTCCCCATCAGTGACCCATCAAGAGCAGGTACATCATCCGAAAAACAAAACACGTATCGACTTTTTTCTTCAAACTTACCATAATCGGGCTTGGTGAATGGGCAGAGGTTCTTTTCGCTCTCCCAATGATAACTGGCAGGCACACTACAATAGCCAGGGGAACTGCGGTCCGTTGTGCATCGAGAAACACTTTCGCTGCAGAACATTTCAGGATATTTGGCGGCATTGTTGACGATACACAAAGCCTCAAAGAAATCGCACCCGCTGTGGTTGCCCCAGCCCATTGGCTCCTCCATTCCCCAGTTAGCCCTATAGTAGCCCATGTCCTCAAAAGTTGACATGGTCAGGGCTGTATAGTAACCGGCACCGAGTGAATCCGTCGGGGCCATTAACTCATCTTTCGCGTTACGGTGCGTCCAGTGCGATTGTACCTTATCTCCGCTACCCAACTGCAGCTCCATACCCTCGAGAGTAGAGCAATTGTAGTGTGCTTGTGCCTTTTCCTTCGTCCGCTTGGAACTCACCAACTTACGATTCATGCCACGCACATTGGCTTTGGTCACCATCTTAAGTTGCTCCATCCGCTCATAGTCAAAACCCAGTGCGTGTGCCATCTCGTGGGCAACAGCACGGACACTCCCTCGCGGATAAACAAGATAATACGGTGAAATATTAATGGCACCAGCAATTGGGCGACTTGACGCTTCGGCAGGGGCACATGTGACACCAAATGGCTCTCCGGTACCGGCTGCGACGTAGAGCACAAAGTCAGCATTCTCAACACCTTTATCGTGGTGCTCATCGGGTACAGTGAAATGTTTGCAATAACTCTTATCTTGAAACGGAGGAACAGTCAAATTGCCTTTATGGGGTTGCACACGCAGACGATCCCTGTGCAGTTTGATAGCAGCAGGAATCATCTCATTTATTAGAGTTTCCTTCTTTTTATCGGTGAGAATCTCATTTTCATAACATTTGGTGATGTCACCTTGAAAATCCATGACCTTATCATCAACCTTAGTACAATACCTCGATTTGTTATCCAAGTCCTTCGTGAACGCTTTAATGCGGATTAGTTTCCACTCTTTGTCGTCCTTCTCCTGTGCGGAGACGGTGTACGCCTGCAAACCACTCTGTCCCTTGCGGGGCAACTCCCGCACAACACCAGTCGACTGCACGCCGCCGTCCTTCTGCGCAACACACACACAGGCGCAGCACAGAAACAACAGCAGAAGAAGCAGCGGCATCACGTACAGTGACTGGCGCACTGTGGCGGGTGTGCGGGCACTCAATTTGTTAACTTGCTGTGGCATATAATGAATGCTTTCTACAGTAGAGAAAGAAACAAGGAGCAAAGAAGGGGAGAGAGAGAAAAAAGAGTGAGGAGCGCAGTACAGAGCAGGGCAAGAGCAGTCCCGCACATGCCAATCCAAATCAAACGGTACCACTGTTGTGGCAAAGAAACACAGTCCATTATGCAGTGGCAAAATATTCATTTCCCTTCATTTGATTTATGGTTTGAGGTATAAATCCAAAGTTATCAAGTAAACGGTACCATAAAGATGAGCTGAACCAGATGAAGCAGCTAGACAAGTCAGGAAGTACTTTTCTCCAGGGTGGAATAATCCTCCCAACCCATCCCCAGAATCAGAAAAATATTATAGTGCTTCCATTCCTCTTGTTGTAACGTCCGGTTCAGACGTTTAAATTTCACGACCAGATCAAAAGAAAAAAAAAATCGTTGAACCAAACCAAATCCATATGTATAAATATATCAGTACAGCAAGTAGAAAAAGATACCGTGTTTTTGATTTTCAGCAAAAAGGAAAAAAAAACAGTATATTCATATAGAATCACATCAAAAAAAAAGAAGATTTAATCTGCATAATAATAACAATGGGTGTGAAGCAAAAACAAACAAGTATGCGAATATCGCATATAAAGCAATACAATAATCAAACGTGTGAAAAAGTACTTGAGTGAAAGAATCAAGAAAAAAAAAAAGAATTCATATAACATTTAGTGCATGAGAGAGGGTAGATGGAAAAACAATATATCCCTTTTCTTTACCTTAGGAGATACAAAAGAATTATATAAATTATTATATAGCCCATGGACAGTGTGCCTATCCTCATTGCGGCAGAAACAGTTTCCATTGGGATACTGACTGCTGTATTGGTGTCCCCTGTTGTGCTTGCAGTGGTGTTTCACAGAAGACCCATCAGAGTGAAGGTCATGGCGAGAGGCACAAGAGCAGAGAGAGCAGCAGCCCTGCGTGTGCTGTCGAGTTCAACATTCATGGACAATCTGCTTCTGCCATCCGGTGTGATGGTGCACACCTCATCGTATTTGGGGCACTTGATCTTACCATTTGTAAATGCAGAGGATCTGACATCGATGGACTTACCTTCGGGACAGTCGTGCCATTTGTCGTTACCCTTGTACTGCACTTTCACTCCACCACCACTGCTGCACTTCACCCGCGCACACACGCCGCGGATAGCGTTACGCATGCTTCTTTTATTAGTCACCACAGTGAGTGACTCCGCATCGAGGCACCACGAGTCTTCACCGGTCAATGAGCCGGGAAACAAGCCCTCTTCGCCATCCGTACAGAGGCTGGTGGGGCTGCTTTCTTCTTCTTCTTCTTCTTCTCCTTCCAGCTTCCAAATGGGCTCCATGGTAGGACATTGGTCCAAAAAAACCTTCGATTCCACATCCTTGCTTAATTCACAACGTCCGATAGCATGTCGATCCGACGTGCAGCGAAACTTAGTATCGTTACAAAACGTTTTCGGAAACGCTGTAACACCGTTGGTCATGCAGCTCCCATTAATGAAATCGCATCCGCCCTTGTGGCCCCAGCTCATTGGTTCCTCCATTCCCCAGTTTGCCTTGTAGTACCCCAGACCCTCAAATGTTGACATTGTCAGTGCTGTATAGTAACCGGCGGTAAGGCCCGTTGGTGGAGCCATCAACTCGTCCCTCGCGAGACGTACAGACCAGTGAGATGAGACTTCATCCTCCTCTTGATCCTCACCTTCCTCTTGTTCTTCGTTATTCAGCTCCATTCCCTGCAGCTCAGGACAATTGTAGTGTTCCTGTGCCTTTTCCTTCGTCACTGCGGTATTCACCAAAACCCGATCCTTGTCACGCACATTAGTGACAGTAGTCACCATATTAAGTTCCTTCATCCGCTCATAGTCAAAACCCAGTGCATGTGCCATCTCGTGTGCAATACTGCGAACACTCAACCGCAGGCCAGCGTATTTAAATACCGCAATATTCATGGCACCCGCGATTGGACGACTTGACAAATCTTCTGGGGCACATGTGACACCAAATGATGTCCCCGGTCCAGACCCCACGTAGAACACAAAGTCAGCATTTTCAACACCCTCAGTGTGGTGCTCATCAGGTACAGTAAAATACTCACAATCACTTCCATCTTCAAAATTGGGCACCTTTAGTTTGCCTTCATGAGGTTGTACACGCAGACGATCCTTGTGTAGTTTGATGGCAGCGGGAAGGATCGTGTTGATAATAGTTTTCTTCTTTTCATCGGTAAGGATATCCTCTTCATCACATACAACTTCGTCCCCCTCAAAATCAATGATTTGCTCCCCAATCTTAGTACAATACCTCGATGCATCTTCCAAGTCTTTTGTTGACGCTTTAATGCGGATTAGTTTCCACTCTTTGTCGTCCTTCTCCTGTGCGGAGACGGTGTACGCCTGCACACCACTCTGTCCCTTGCGGGGCAACTCGCGCACAACACCAGTCGACTGCACGCCGCCGTCCTTCTGCGCAACACACACACAGGCGCAGCACAGAAACAACAGCAGAAGAAGCAGCGGCATCACGTACAGTGACTGGCGCACTGTGGCGGGTGTGCGGGCACTCAATTTGTTAGCTTGCTTTGTCATTTAATGAATGCTGTCTACAGTAGAGAAACAATTAAAAAAAAAAATGGCCCTCAACGACGAGACACGCAAAAAAACAGTCTATGCTCCTAATATTGTAGTACACAGGTAAGCAGAGAGGTCCGGGTGTAAGAATGAAACGCAATAAAAAAGCAACAGAAATTTCTGGCCTTATGGAAATTTCATATTTAAACAACGTACGTTGTTGTTGTTGTTTGTTTGTTTGTTTGTTTGTTTTGCGACTTGTATACAGTACAAAGAAAAAGAATGATGCAAGGCACCAAAAGACCCAATACTTTCAGTAACAGTTTCGGCAAAGCCCAAACATTAAGACAGCATACGTACTCACCATTTAAACCTAGGCAAACATAGATCGTTTCTTTGTTTACCATTCGTGAAGTACGGCTTCTGAGGAAAGTAGTCGTGGTCTCGTGAAAGAATTCAATCTCCATCTACTACAATAACGAAGAGTCTACGATACAAAAAAAAGTACAAGATATCGATAATAGACAAATGTCAAGCATAACACGCAACTCTACACATTATATACACTCTCTAGCATTAGCAAAATTACCACTTTCATTTCTTTTCTTTTTTTATTTTTAAAAACGACAATTATATGGTTCTCGATAAATAAATCCGTCACATGTAACCCGACTTAGTACGGGCTATCGGTGCCGCTGCATCCATCACATAGCTGTACCCGTGAGTAATGTTCTGTCAGCATTTCGGGTAGGAGATAGGGTGATGGTAACAGGAGATCCTGTTGTTATTGACAGCAGAGACTCATTGCCTCTTTGGTGATTTTCGTCAATTCAATACCATGGCGACAGAAAACTACAGGAACCTGTCACTGTCTATGAATCAAACAGTCACACAGAGTGTAGTGCTTTTCGATCCCAAACATTGATGCTAATGTACGATATTTGATATCATATTGTCAGTGGAAGCACTGATCTTGATGGAACAGAGCCTCGTGTCGTGCAGAAAAATAAGCCATGCGCCGCACCTCCCAGAGGATCGTTCGCCGTTGGTTCCCATCGAATCCTGTGAGTGCAAGAACCTTGTCCATCGCTTCGGGGCACGCGGCCCAGAGATCGGAGAGGGCCCCGAGCCCTTGGCGGCGTAAGCGAAGGTCCACCTCCGTAAGGAGCGGGGACAATAGTGGACGACACGCAGCACCCACAGTGACGTGAGATGTGGACCCATGAGTGATTGAGGAGAGAAGTCCCGATGGACCACTGCCTTGGTTCATCACACACACCACAGGTGAAACGAATTCACCACTTGCTTCATCCACACCGCAAGCGGGCTTACCGTTAAAAGGCACAACGTCTATCGAAGTTGACCTGCGTGCGGGGTTAGTGTTTCCGGGCCATAAAAATGAGCCCCGTGGGCCACCGGTTTCCTCCTCCACACGGATGCGGTATCCCACCGGCTGAGATTCCACTCCTCCGCTCAAGTGCGAGGCGAGTTGGTACCCGACGGGCAGACGATCGATCCGCCGCCTGCTGCTCCCGCCACCACCGCACGCTGCAGCCACGTCGTCATGGTGCCGTCGAATCGCCAACATCGACGGATGGTTGACGGTTGCGCCACTCCAGCACTGCGCGGTGGAGGTAACGGATAGGCCGTCACGCAGTTCTGTAGAGGCGTACATCCCCCGCCCGCGCCCGCGTCCGCACCGTCCACCACGTCCGTCAACACCTTGGGACACACCCGACTCCCATGAAACGTCCGGCGATACCAACCATTCCTGCTTCACAGGATTGTTCTGCGGGTGTGAAAGGCTGAAATGACTTCTGTTGCGTCGGGAGTAGCCTTTTGCACTTCGCGTAGGCTGTGGTGACAGCTCCATCACGGCAGAATGAGTGTGTTCACCTCCGATGCCCAGGCGCTGCTCCTTCTTCAGTACCTCAGCGTTCTGCAACTTGAGCTGCTTGTCAGCCTCAGAGGCACCGGCATCATCCCATAGCCCCCGTATATTAGTCCTCTCCGGCAGGTGGACTAACCTCGACATATACCTATGGATTGCAGAAATAAAGCTTTCTATTATCGCAGATGAAGGGACAGGAAAAATGAAACAAAGCCAGAAATCCAGTAAAACAAAACAACAACAAGAAATAAATAAAAATAAATAAATAAATAAATATAAAACAGCTAAAAACAGATAGTAGTACCTTAAACTTGCCAGAAAACGAAAAAAAAGGTGGACTCCACACTTTTTGCGATCTTTCTAAAGCTACAACCGGCATTTTTATAAACTATATTTCTGCTTTGGCAGAAATAATCCACGCAGTACTTTTCGACAGAGATGGAATTAATTGGGATTGAGATACCGTTACCGTAAGATCCCATCCTCTCCGCTCCTCTACGTTGGTAACCCTGCTACACAGCAGGTTTCGGGGGAATAAAAAAAAAAAAAAAAAAAAAGATTATCAGTGTTATGGCCAAGATACAGCACCGCCACACAGCAGATGCCTCTCTTTTTTTATACCGGCTAAAATACAGATAATCTGGAATATTAATTTTCATAAAGTACTGCGTATCACTCTTTCTTTTTTCGTTGCCCTAAATTTTTCCTGTTTTTTTTTTTCCGTTCTTCATACATTCCCTCTTATTTTTTCCTCTCATTTTCTTTTTCCGTGTATCCCTTGTTATTTATTTTCTTTCCCAGTTGGACACGGCCTGAACCGTGTCAATATATCTGGCGTCACACGCAGAGGAGTTACACCAAATGACGTACGACGGACTCCTCACTCTGTTGCCGTGAATCCACAGCCTCAGTGCAGTCATCAGAAGCGGCAAAGTCCTTGTTGTTCTGGCGGTACAACACAAAGTGCTGAACCAAAAAAACAACATCGTATAGTATGCTTACTGAACCAAGGGCAAACTTTACAGGATTGCCTGTCATGCCCTCCCAATTTCCGGTTACCCAACTGTCCATTACCTGCTGTACAATGCTGAGAATACCTCCCGTGAAGTCAAGTATAACGTTCCAGATATTCCACCCAATTGTACATTTCCTCTTGTAGTTCAGATATATCTGTGGCAAGTACTTTACAATACTGATGCCCAGTTTTATCATGCTCAATCCGTACAAGAGATCGAGGTAGTTAAAGACGTGAGTTTTTTTGACACCCCCGACAATCAGGAATGTCCACAGCAGTATAACGAAGATTATAAGGCAGATAAGCCCGATGGCGAAAATGCTCAGCTTTTGGCCACCACGATCCATGAAAATAATTTGCACCCCATTCACTATGCAGCAGGTGAGCGCATACACTGCGAACACAACGTCGTTTAGTGCCACTGTGTTCGACATACCATCATGCCGTTCACGATACATCTCCTGAACGGCACTGTTCGCATAAAAGCAGAGAGTGTATGTAGAGTAGCACGCGAAACCAATTATGTTCAGAGTCACAAATTCAAAGCTCTGACCTTCCACACTCCAACGGCGAAAGTTAAAATATAACTGTGGCAAGAAGGACACCCCCCATGCCAAAAAGTATATCCATCCAATCAACGCAGAGATGTAATTCCAGGGTTTCGGATTTGCGTTTACCACTGGCGCCGTGAACGTCAAAATCACCGACAAGCCGAGCATTAAAAACGCACAAACCGGTGCAACAATGCGGGTCGGGATCTCGTATTTCCAAATCTTAATTCCCGACGGATCAGCAAGTTTCCGTGGTGATTCAGCCAAAGATGAGTGACCACCATTAGAAAGATTGACATCATGATCCATCTTGTGAATGGGTGTCACTTCATCTTCTGCAGGTCGTTCATCAATCATTGGCTCCACCGGTAAAACCACTGTGGTCTCCACAGTTGGGGCAGGCTTATCGGACAATCCAAATTCAGGCATTACTACCTTGTAAGCGTTCGTAGAAATAAAAATAATTAAAAGGCAAGTCTTCCTCTAAACCAAAAACAAAAACCAATAGAAAAGATAAGAAATGAAAAAAAAAAAAATGTGGAGAGACACTTTACTGCAACATGGCGATCTCGCAAGACAGAGCAATACACCACCAAAGCATCAGACAGATTGTTACTTATGTTAAACTCCCTAATTCCTAATAAAAGTTATGGAAAGACGACCCAGTACAGAACATGCACCACGGCATCCCCCTCTTTATCCCTCACATCGGGCAAGCGCACTTAGTCTTACCCGCCCACTCTCGTGCCGCTGCTGCCCACATTTTTTCCTAGACCCCCCTGTTGCTCCCGCAGGAAGAGAGGGAGGGCGGCGCACAAGCTACAGCCATCACCCAGCTCTATCGGGTGCCTAGCTCCGCAGCACTGGAACCGCCCAGCACACATATCCCCCACTCCCCCTCTCCATTACACATACACACATTGCACCTCTCACGGTCACACAGTGTAAAAAATTTTAAAAAAAAAGTTTGGAAAACACACACACACAGACATACATAAACACTGGCTTTAAAGCACAACACACAACATGTTCAACACGCACGAGAAGCACAACTCCTACGCACAGCGATGGAACGGAATGCAGTTCTTTTCAACGCCTACAGCCACTTCCCGATCCCCGCCATCACTCCAACCCCTGCCCATAGGGCAAAGAACATCGCAAACCGTTTCAGACCACGGTACTCCGCATCCGCACCGGCGTACTTCCGCAGATCCGCCGGGAAATCGTTCAGCATTAGTACAAACGCCAGGTACAGGAGAATACCACCGCACACTGCATCGAATATCGCCTGGACCAACACGAATGCCGTCCCCGTTACTGAGACCTTCGACCCCACGACGGCGCCCAGACCAATCGCAGTGCCCAAAGGTGCAGACACGGAAAAGACCAGCGCCAGCAACAGCTCCAGCCAGCCGCGTAGCGGCGCATCCGCCAGTCGTGAACCCAGCGCAAGTCCCTCGAACAGCTGGTGGAACGAAAGCGCCACAAGCAACGGCTTGATGTCGTCATCGCTCGTGATGCCAACTGTCAGTCCAATGAATACGCTGTGCAGCGTCACACCAAACTCCATGAACAGGGCCGAGGCGATACGCTGCGCTCCACCCTCCGCAACGAGGAGAATGCTGCGACTGTGGTGCCCGCTGCAGCCACCTTCGTCACCACAAATAGACACACGCTCCTCACCTCCAGTGATGTTCTGCTTTTCAACAGGCTCTGCTGGTGAGGGCGGGGCACTGCTGCCAGCAAACATCAGGTCCAGATTCACCTCCAACGCGTGCATCAGTACCGCCGCAATCATCGCAAACAAAAACGCGTACGCATCATACGACTCCTGGAACGACGCCGGCACACACTCCTCTTGGAACGTATGCGCGGAGTGGTTGATCATGTGAATCATCGCCACAGCCAGCACAACGCCTGTTGCTGCGCACTTGCCAATGACAAATGCGAACGGGTGTACCCGCAGCACTGGAACATATTTCCCCGCAAGTGGGATGAGCGTCCCAAGAAACGAAACAACCAGCACAATGAAGATCGCCGCCACATGCAGCCCGACAGAGTACGGGCCATCGGCGCCACTGCACCCACCATGGCTGTGCCCGTGCTCGTGTCCGTGTTCATGCGAATCGGGTAGTTCACACTGTTGCTCAGTAAGTTTTGATTCCAGCGAAGCATGCTGTGAAAGGAGCGCACTGCAATCTTCAGTGTTGTTCATTTGATCGGTCAAGAATCTTCAATTTTCGAGTATTTGGTGCGAGTCCTTGAGGCAAGTCTTTCAAACGTACTAGAATTTCACAAAGAACACCAGAGCAAATAGGAAAGAAAGTAGGAAATTAGAGAAACGTAGGTGGCATAGATTGATTGAGTTTTAATGGCTTGGTTTATGTCATCTTTTGGTATATGGATGGTATTTTTTTCGTAAACGTATGTAGTTGTGAAGGACCGATAAAAAAAAAAAAAAAAGAATTTCGCAAAAATAGGAACCTGAAAATGAAGTTGTTATTATTTTTGTATATTATTGGTATTTGGCGTTAAATCTTTTAATTCTGCCATATTGTATTTATAATGTTTGTTGTAAACGATTGTTGACATAATTATTTTCTTTGACTATTGTCGTTTTTGTCGAATGTTTCCTGATTCTAGAAGAAAATAACGGTTGATTTGAGAAATATTTTATTGAGCAAGCTTTCTTGCCGACTTGGATTATTTCATGTAGGCAACCACTGAGTTGGTTTGTGAGCGTATATAATTCTGGATTGATGTGGGTCACTACAGTCGTTTTTTTTTTTTTTTTTATTATTCTTTCACCTAATAATATTATAGTAAGAAGAAAAATGAGCCTCCCTCCAAACGCGATTGCTTCTTGACTGTTTTCCGTGAGTTTGACGTTGCCTTTTTTTTTTTTTTTTTTACCGTTCTCAACGAGATTGAGTCAGGAAAAATGAACGAATGCTCTTAAGGACACTGAAAGATATACCCTTACAGCTTGTAAACTTCTCTCCTTTTGTCTGCCAAAAAAAAAAGAATAGTATTTTTATCCGTTCCCTTCTTTTTTGTACTCTGTACAAACTGATTGTTTGCATTGGTTTTCCATTTTTATATGTATTACGTTTCCCACTTGTTTTCCTTTTGGTTTGTGCATGTTTACATGCATATTTTTGTGTTTGTCTTGTTTTCGTTCTTTTTTTTTTCTCTTTTGTCTTCTCAACTTTTTGGTGCACCTCTTAGTGTTGTTTCTTATTGTATAATAGTAGCGATACCAATACTTACAAAATAAAAATATAAAAGGAAAGAAAAACATTGGATAAAGAAAATGACAACACCTGTGGTTCATGTTAATTCGTCTATCATAATTTAATTCACCACCTCATGATGGTGGCTCCAAAGAAAAAAAAAAAAAATATAAATGCCCCAAACAACAAGAAAAGCACATAAGAACAAGGAGCAGCAACAA